GAGAGAGAGAGAGAGAGAGAGTGAGTGATTGAATGAGGGGGAGGAGGAGGAGACGAGTTGTAGCGATTGGGGCCGAGAGGAAGGGATAGAGGAGTCGTCGAAAAGCGATTAAAACATTGTGGACGGCGCGTTACGTTGGAGGCGCTCTCCCCTACTGCCGCGGTAGGTCCGCGTGGGGCGACATCGCGAGCGCGAACAGGAGCGTCTCAGTAGTCCGCTGGCGTTGGCGGCGGTGACGTTGCCCGAGTCGCGGTCAGGATGCTCGGGCCGCGAGTGCTTGGCAGCTTCGCTCGCATCCGTCGGTGCGCGACCCGCTGAGCGACGTCTGTCTCGATGCCAATTGCCACCGGAGGTCCCTGACACTTAGCAATTCGACGGGGAAACATGAGGGTCCCGACGCAGGTGAGACTCTATGCGCTCGAGCCGACCAATTATTCTCTAGCTTATAACCGAGGTTTTAGAGACGATAAAGCAGCGGTTATTAGGCGAGCGGTCACCATCATTACTCGCGACAATTAAGTTTTTCATCGACGGACGATCCATTGGCTCCTCCACTCCTCGATCGCCGATAGATGCATAAATCAATCGAGCCGACTCCTTAATTCAACGACGATGAAAAATATCGTCGAAACACCACGCGAATAAATCTTATTCGAATCCATAATTTCTTTATTGGTGCTTGACATCTAATTAACGCTGCGTTTCAGTTATTTTTGTCTCGTACGATTAAAAAGCCCCAATTGGTAAAAGCCTTTACCGAGCTATTAGGTAATTTTAACAATGTCCCTTACAAATACTTACAAATACAAATACCATTATACTTATATAATAATGTATAATTAATGTTATACAATAGTTAAATTTAGCAAATGTCAAAAATAATACGCGTATCGGCACTATTGCCATTAAGAATGACAAACAACGGCAAAGCTTTTCAGCTTTAATTAAATTATTTATTTTAACAATTACTCGAGCACCCATTCTTAATATAAATACATTTTTTAATTTCTTTCGAATATCAAAAGCTTGCTTAATCTATTTAAGATAATAATTATTTTTAACGTTAATGCAAATATATTAGTAATATATTAGCAAATAGTACATTTTATAATAAAATACAATTGCAATTCTTATATACAAGAATAATTGAGAAATTGTCGACAAACTAAAATGAAAATTCAAGGAAACAAATACGTAGTACCGAAAAATCATATAAGCGTATTTCTTCATGAAACTTATCCAATAAGTTTGTATTCTATTCTCCTTCCGAACATTATCCGATAATTATTACAAGAATATCATTTACTAAGTAAATTCCTCAAAAACAATTACTCCTGAAATGCAATATCTAAATTCACAATTATTGCTTTATTCTCTTCGGAAATGTTTTTATACTCCATCAAAAAAAAAAAAAAAAAAAAAAAAACATTTTGACATTATAAATATATAGAAGATATTTTTTAATTTTCATTTTGTAAAATAAACGATACCGTGAAAATATATTGTAAAATTTATTAACGGTGCGACAATTATATAATGATAACCACTTAATAATAACAGTGCTCAGTTGTTTTTATTTATTACCACTAAATGTTTTATATATTTAGAAACTTAATGATTTTATTTTAATTTATAATATATATCTTTATGTGAAATTAACGATCATTTAGAAAATTATAATATAATACTAGAAAATATAATATATTTATCAATTAATTAATAGTGAACAGTTCCAAGTCTTATATAAATAATAAGTTATTTTAGACGATTAAGGAATACTGGACTGTTCATAATGTTAATTTATTAAAATTTTATAAGAAATTATTTCAAATTACGTACAAATGTCAAGACTAATTATTTTATAATTTATCTATCTTGCAAAATATAAAATGCATTAATAATTATTTTCAAAGTAAAATTAAAATATTCATACACGAGATAACTATTTTTTTATCTATATATAATATAATTAATATTATTATAAAACGGATTATATTTATTTCAAATAATAATTTTTTATCAATAATAATTGATTAAATTAAAACGAATCGAGGTGACTAACTAGTAGTTTAATCAATAAAAATTAATTGAAGAATACATAAAGGATGTCATTTTTTTCGCGCCGTATATATAAATAAATAAACAGTGTATAAAGAAATAATTATTGGAAATCTGAATTTTAATTAAAAATATCATAAGGCTTAGAAAGCTAATATTACCTTTACGGCTTAAATAATTGATAATATCAATAATTAAGTTACAAAAAAATGAATGCATTATGATTTCATTTTTGTTATTTAATAAATCGATTTTCATAATATCGAATGGAGTTTACATGATATTGCAAGTTTAACAGCAATCATTTTATTTTTAGTATTTTAATAATAATTTTCAAATTTAAATTAATTTAAATTTACATTATAAAAATTACTCGAAAATAAGTTTTCATAAGTCAGACGTAATATTTAAGTAGTAATATATATTGTATAAAATAGTTACTGAATCATAGATTTATTATTATATTTAAAAGTACAAAAATTTACTATCATTTCAGAAAATTGATTTACTTTATTCTAATTCGGCTTTTTTTTGGTAAATTGAACAAAATTTAGCAATTTTTTACGAGATATTTATAAAGTACATGTGAAATAAGTTTACTAATTTCTAACTGTTTTATCTTAATAACATTTCATATTTTATCTATAAAAAATAGTAATACTTTATGAATTGAGAAACCAAAAGTAGCTTATTTAACAAAAAGTATAATATTATGATTAATTATCTTACATAGTTTTCGTTCATATATTCACTTTACAGCAATTATGACACTTGTAAATTACAATGGCGAAATTATACTCCTCATTCTTGCTTCTTTGCCTTTATCAAATTGACATGATAATAATTTTTCACTAAAATGATGTTTTCGTTAAAAAGTAGATAATTTTTCTACAAACTGGCTCAATAATGGGAAAATATTTTAAAAATTGTGTAAAGCACAATTAATTTTCTCACACTTAAGTAGAAATATTTGATGAAATTATCTACATATGATAATTATTTCATTTGGTGTTAAAAAGTAAAAGCCTTTAGAGTCAAGTGAACAATCCTAATGAATTCCAACGTTCATATAGATCAATATATTAAAATTTACATTTTTTACATGTATACCTATATTTTTATCTATAAAAATCAACAATTAAAACATGAAGAATTACGCTCAAAAGAGAGAAAGTGACATAGACGCTTAAAATTTGCACAAATTTTTTATATCAATTATATTACTTATGTCAAATTAATTTATCAATTCACTTATAGAAACAAATAAGATGTTTAATTTAAATAATTTTTTTTGAAAAGGATACATTTTTGTTTAAAATATTCTTTAATTATTCGACTAAACTTTTTCCGGGCAAGTTTATGTTTTAGCTAAGAACTGGAAAATTCTACTATTCCGATAATACAAAGCCATAACAATTATTTGCCGGTCCTTAGTCACGATAATTATGTGAGATCTGGCCATCTCCAAATCAAGCAAACACGGAAATAATTTTGCTATTCGTTAAATGTTCTATATTTTATTTTTAACATTACAAAACACAATGTTTAACATATAAGCATATTGTTAATCACGTGATAAAGAATAATGGACAGTCAATATGGGAAACGGCCACTTTCTAATGCCATAAATTACAAATCATTTTCCCTGATTAAAAAAATTCCGATTCCCTTCCTCTTGAATTCTATTCGTCCAAATCCATTACGTAAAAGAAATTTTTACTCAGCCATGGTTACTATGTAACTGTAAAGTAAAACTAAGTGAAATTTTCCAATGTAACGGCTGGAGAGAGATACATGCGTGACAATAATCATGAAAAAGAAAATTGCACGTGTATCAACAAGAAAGAGATTGTGCACGAAGATATTATTATTATTATGTACGCTTTAATTGAATAAACTTCATCAATATTTAATGCTTTACTTTATTGTGCCTTTTATAATGAGATTTTTTATTCAATTTTGAACATTTTTTGAACATACAATATATTTAATTTAGATTCAAAATTTAAACACGTAGGGAAGAAGGTTTTCCTCTCGTATTAAATTACAAACGTAAGTAAATTAATTCTCATGCAATTAATTTTCTGTACAAATAATTATAGGCTTACTCTATATGTAGCTCAAATGGCTTTTTAATAGCTTCGTAATTAGCTTAAAAATTGTAATTATTATTAATTATGAATAAACATATTGTTTAATTATTTAATATTTATCTAAATTATGCAACTATTTAGGATATAAATTTTACATTGGCATAAATTTTTCATAATGAAAAATATTTAAATACTTACTCCAAGTACTGATAATTTAATATGTACAATTAATTATAATCAATAAAACAACGTTTAAATTATGAAGATTAGGTAATATTTTTAGATACCCGTGTAATATTTTCATTAATTAGCATTCACGAAACTCAGAATATCATAAAATATGTAAAATACAAAATATTATTAATATTTTGACTAGGCTAAATGATAATAAAACTTAGTTCTTAATAATAATGTGATAGTGATAGGCAATATTATTTATACTAATATATCATTTTTTCAGTGTTGAAATCAATTATTTATTTTATATGATTATGGAGAAATTTTACGAAAATGTCAAATGTTATTGATATGACTAATAGCTTCATGTCGTTTCTTATATGTACTTTCGGTGTAATAGAGTATCTATTATTTTCATACTTCAAGTGTTTCATTTTAAGATAAATTTTATGATAATTGACTAATTAACTTCAGGCGATAAATGTTTGCTGTCAAGAAAATAAATTAAAGCTGGCACTATTACCCTTGTGTTTCCGGCACTCGTTACTTCTCCACACTTATTCTATAATTTATAAATCACAATATCATAATTGGTAGTTTCGCTAATGCAATTGGCAATTTTATTGTTATTATTGTGATTGTGATCGCATGAAAAGTAGATGTATTAATTAGTTGTATCAGAGAAATTCTTTATATTATATTAGTATTGAATTTTTCGCCGTAGAGTTTGGTTTTTCTCTGTAAATAAATTACGATGATTACATAAATATTAATTTAATTTTAATATTAATTTCAATATTATCTACAGTATTATTTACAATCGATGCACAATCAAATTAAACAGAGGCTCAATTGCCAAATGGAAAATATTTATTTTTATAAATATTAAACCTTCAATACGATAATACTTATTATTTCTTTAATTAAGTTGAACTAGATCTTTTAATTTTGTAAAAAATTATCTTACACGATAAGCAAAAGTTCTTGTAAAAATAATATAGACCAAAGCAGCTTGTAAGAGAGTTTTTCATAATTTTTTATCTGCAAGTCTTTCACATTTAAATAATAAATTTTCAAAATCTCGATAAACAAACATACTAGGCTACTTGTATGCAAATGTCGCTTTATAATAATCAACAAAAGTTTACCTCATTAAACGTAAATTTTATTGGATGGAATCATAATAATTACATTATGCCGAAACTCGTGATTATCCAAGTATAAATTATACTTGCAATCTGCATTTCATTCGACATTTCAGGCCTATCGATATTTGCAATACATCGCCAAGTTATGCCGCGTCGCGTGGTATTATCAATTGATAAAACGACTGCTTTTTACGAAATCATAATTCGATCGCAAATGACAATTAAAGAGACGTAAACAGGCGCAGATTTCACGCGATCGGACTTGCACGCATACAAGCCAAGTGTTACACGATGTCGCATAAGCTCATACGTATTTGCGATAAAAGAATTTCACCGTTTTAGGGCAATCATTCGACGTAAATACGCGTGGCTACAACTGTTATAAATAAAAAGAAAAAAAGAAAAAAGGAAAAAAAAGAAATAAAGGAAAAAAGAAAGACGTGATACGAGATTCGCAAGCGTAACTGGCGTATCCTCGCCAATTGACAACGATTACACTCGCTGACGTTAATCTGTCCTCTTTTATCTTAATAGGAGTCGTAGCTACAGTCATCGCCCGGACCAAGTCGCAGCTCCAAGGAGGTGGACCAAGAGGACCGTCAGCAGTCCCTCCTCGAACGTCCCACTATGGCCGTCAAGGAGTGGTTCAGGAAGTTCCAGCCGGTGCAGCTCTACCTCGTGCTGTTTTTCACGGCCGCTTTCTTCGTCGTGGAAATCGTGGCCAGCTACATCACGCACGCGCTCACCCTTCTTATGAACGCCTACCACATGCTCTGCAACATCATCGCTCTTATCGGTTGCATTGCCTCGATTAAGGTAGGAAGGTAGTGATTGGTGGGAGGCGAGGGGCACCAGCCACTTCGCGCGATTTCGTGTTTACGGACGAGTCGACTTTCTTCGTGTTGAAGATTTACGAATTATCTCTAGCAGCCCGTCTCAATTCTTTCTATCAAAATATCATAAATTGTGTTATAAAACTATTATTCTCCAATGATCCTTCTTCAAAGATTATAGAATCATTTAATTAATGTCAATATTTTTCTTTTCTTTGCCGTGGCTTGGCGATGGATATGCCGAGCAAAAGTCATATATTTTCTTTATTCTGCCAGATTTGGTTCATGTAATAAGACCTCTTATCACAAAGCAAGATAACTAATTTAAAATTTTCCAAATTTAACACGTAACCACTAGATAAAGTGTATTTAACAAGACATTAGTATATACAATTTATGAAAACTTTCTTAAGGAAATCGTTAATAAATCAATGTGAAACGCCGCGGTCGTTATATAGATTAACAATTGAAATACTATAAACACTTTTACTATCTTTTGGAATGATATTATTATTGTATGAGCAAAAAAAAAAAAAACAAAAACAAAAACATTATTATAATAACTTAGATATTCGTTAAATCTGTGCTCAATGATAAATATCTTATTTGGTGCAATTATATAATTGAATAGATGCACAAGATAAATATGATTTTTTACATGTGATATTTGACACGGTGAATAGATTCAAAAGATTCAACATTCAAATTTCATTCTGTTATTGTAGACTCAGTAAAAATAAAAATTCATTTCATTGAGCGATATCGTTAACAAAAAAAAAAAAAAAAAAAAAAAAAAAATTGTATTAAAAAAAAAAAAAAAAAAAAAAAAAAAAAAATTGTATTATCAACAGATACGTACTTCCTTCAGCGTACACACGCAAGTCTACGCACGCATGCACGCAATATGCACGCATTTATATATATATATATATATATATATATATAAACGTTTAATTAAGTTTTTAAAAACATATATTTAAAATGTATCGTTCGAAGATCGAAGGTTTTTAATGAATCTCCTTTTATGATAAATAATTAAGTATATAATTGATGATAAGTATTTTTTTTTTATAGCTTTCACTATCTTCATATTACTACATATTACTTCATAACTTTATTATATTACTTTCTGTAAACGTGGAATGACATGATTTGCATGTGTACGCATTTTCGTTGACGATACTTTCTTTATATGATTTTCTAATAATAATCGCAATTATTATTTATGGAAAAATGAAATAGATTATTATCAAAATTTTAGAATCATTATAATAATTATTATTCCTTTTATATTTTATACAATAAACTGATGCCAATTTAAATTGAATATTTAGTTCTCTAAATAATCGTTAGCCATTTATCTTGTACTATATGAAATTAAAAAATGCATTATTATTTCAGTATAAAGATGATAGCAGCAAGAGTCATCAGAATTCATTGAATTCTTTGAAAATGTCAACAAACACGTTGAACGAGAAAACTATTGACATACCATCAGCAAATAAGTTCAAGGTAAATAAGTGATCTATTCGTCTTGTATTAATATAAATGATTCAATGACTTAGGACTATTAAAAGATTTATCCCATAACACTGCCAACGAACTTTAATATGTAATCGACATTGAGTGATTTGCGTGTAAATTATAATAACGGCAGAATCGTGCGTGCGAGGGTATCGTAAAGTCGAAAAACCAAAGTTCACAACTACTGCTACGACAACACCATAAGAGTGCCATTAAAACAATTGAAATTTTCAGCAAGCGCGGTCGGAAAAGCGCATGAAAAATACATTCGGATGGGCGCGAATCGACATCGTGACAATGCTCGTCTGTTGCGTCCTCCTCGCCTCCTTCTGCTTCTCCCTCATCGTGGAGGCTCTGCAGACTCTCGTGCACATCGATCACCTTGACGCGATGCACCACCCGCTGCCGGTGATGAGCATCGGCGCCTCGGGCATACTCCTCAATGCCTTCTGCTACTTTCTCATCGGCGGCTATACCTTCAACCAGGGCATCTTCTTACACTTCACGCAGGACGGTGACGTCGTCCTCAAGAGGTACTTATGTTCCTTGCCCGTAATTTCTTTTTAAACTCATCGGAAGAATGTTTTTTCTCATTCCAGTAAATAGAAATTTTTACGAAATTAGCCACGTATAACATAATCAGATTTTGTTTTAAAGATTAATTTGGAATTTAATTATAATTATATGAATTACGCGCGTGAACGAGAGAAAGTAATTGTGTGTGCGTGTGCGCGTGCGTGCACAATTTCAAATTAATTCAAAGTAATTCATCGTCAATCGATCGAACATTATTTTTCACACTTTTTTGTTTATCTTACTCGATGATAAAAAAAATTGCTGTAATACAATGTTTAGTAGTTTTGAAACTAACAGGACCTGTATTAATAATAGATTATTATTAAAAATCAATAAACGTAATTTTATAAATTAAACTTTGTAATAATACGGAGTATAATGGAAATAAAAAGTGTAAATTTTAAAAACTTATCGACGATAAAAATGTATAATTCAGCTTTATGTATCTGAGATTGAGGATAAATGTAGGATGAAAATATTTGAGTAACATTAAATTTTACAATCAATTAAGAAAACAAGTAAGATGAAGAAGCAAAATGCTTACAAATTATTATTCGAAAAGTGCCATCTTCGCTTTGAAAAAAAATAATGAATAACGATTATATTTTTATATATGGCATCATAAATTTCGTAAAAACTTATGCAATCTATACTATTGTATTATTAATCATAAATACATGTTCCCCTAATGAAAAGTGAAGTTGTATAAAAATGTTGCGTCATTATCAATAAGAAATCATATGAGGATAATTTAAATTTTATGGACCGCTGATAATAATTCATAATGAAATTCCTATTAATAGAGTCTGGAGTATTTTAGCATAGCATAGCATAAATCATACCATAAACTATTTTATGATAAAATTTTAAGTTCCTTGTTATATTATTTTGTACATTAAATATTATAAACCTTATAATATATATTTGTATTAAAATTTTTTAAATCTATAGTGTTTTAAATTATAAGGGGGAAAAAAAAGTAAAATGGTAAATTAATTATTATTATGTTAATGAATATTATTATATTTATGAGTTATTATGTTTAAATTTAACGATTAAGCAAGCTTTATGCATCTTGTATACTATATAAGATTCTTCAACTTTAGCCGAATGTTTAAAAAATTCTTGAAATGTTATTTGTATCGTTGAAGGATGAATAAATTCACAATTGCTTATACTTAAAAAAGATTTTTCTATAACAATATTTAAACCATATCTATGGAATTTGTCTTTAATTAACTCTATAATGAGTGACAATAAAATTGTAATAATACTAAAAATATCGGAGACAAATGCGTAAAAAATGAGGTGAAATATTTTCGTTATTAGTCATATTATTATAAAAATTAGTAGAGGAAAATGGAGGATAATTTGGTTTTGTATTATATGATACTGAAATGATTTTATTTTCAATTTGATGTACTTTTTTTTAATCCTTTTAATTTACCAATATAAATCACAATGTTAATGTTGCTCTTGATATTACATAATTTTATGATTTTGATACGATGATGATATATTTTGAAAATATGTATTATAATTGCTTAAGCCATTAAAAAACGTATTTTGATGATATATTATTTCTATGATATGATGCAATATGATTTTTTACAAATCCAAGCATTCGTTAATTATTCGGCGAGCAATGTTTTTGCTTTCATATTTTAAATTAACAAAATAATTAAGTTTCCGAGATGGTAAATCAAGAATACCATGAGATATTGGGAAAATGCTGTGCTTTCTTAATTGACAAATTGAAAAATTTGAGCACATAGAGCATTAGATTGCCATAAATATTGGAAAAACATTGGATTTCAGAAGCATCGACGTGCAGTCGACGAAAGGCGATCAGATCGAGCAGAGCCGTCGAGGACTCGTGATCCTACCAATGAACCAAGGACTACGGGAGATGTGCCGCGATGTCCTCGGCTGTGTGCTTGTAATGATCGCCTCCTGTATGGTCTATTTTACCGAAAGTCATATCGCTAAATATATCGATCCGATATTCGCGATAATCTCGGCGATATCGTTATTCCTTCTCAGTTATCCTTACAGTAAGTCGCCATTATCTCACTTCAATATTTTACAACTATATTAAATATATTATAAATTAAATTTATATTTACATGGTGAATTGTAAGAAGCCTTAATTGTCTTAATACACCCGAACGGTCACACTGTAGACGAAATACGATCAAACTACTTGTTTAGTATTAATTTATTTCATAACTTCTTCTTACTTATAATTTTTATAATATCCTACACAATATAGATATTCGTGTATATATCAAGCAAACATTTGTACTTTCTTCTTTTCCCTTTTTTTGTTACTCAATGCTACTTGTACATGTCAACTTCTAATTTAAGACCAAAGTCTTCCTTTCTTTCTTTCTTTTAATTGACTACATTTGTTTGCATATATTTTTTCCATATCGAAGATTACGGATAGGAAATCACCAGAGACCGAGAGAAGACTAAAAATCGTCAATTATCCTGCGCATTTGAGCTTAGCGCATCGCTATTTATAACAATCATGTTGAGCGTGTCAAATTTAAAATTAATTTTGTTCTAAGAACAATAATTGAAACGTAATTCTCAAGTGATAATTATAAATCTTGAAAATTAGTATGATAATGGGAAATAATGCGTTAAAGGCATTGTATGACATTCTATTCTATAAATCTGATTACAAAATTTACATTTAACCGCCTATAATTGTGACAAAAATAATGAGAAATGAAAACTTTTTATATAAGAATTATTTATACAATCTCATCTCTTCAAAGCTATTTCTATTATTTTCCATTAAGATGCACATTCATTATAACGAATAACATCCCCTTTTACATAGAAGTATATAAAAAATATTTTATCACGATATTTTCGTAAACATGTGGAACTGATGCACATCAATTAATTTCGCATAAAACAAACAGCAAAAATATAAATAAACATTTCCCCCAATTCATAGATCTTAATACCAAACGACTTTACTTTTTATTGTTAGCATCCGAAATTCGTGTAATAATTATAAATATAAAAATTAAGTGCAGCGAATTTCGGTGAATGAGTAATAATTAATGTTCTTGAACTTTCCTCGTCTTTAGTGAAGGAATCCGGTTTGATTCTCCTACAAACCATTCCGAACCATATCAACATCGACTCTTTACAGAAAGAACTTTTAATAGCGTTTCCGGATATTGTAAGCGTACATGACTTGCACGTGTGGCAGCTGAATGGAGAGAAAGTCATATCGACTGTTCACATCATTTACGCGGATCCAACGGTATGAATAACACATTCTTTAAATTAGTCATGTCACTAATAATGATCTCAATATCATTACTTTTGCAGGTGTGTGCGAGAATCACTGACCAAATAACTGCCTTTTTCATCGAAATGGGTATCACACATGTAACCATTCAGCCGGAATTTTGTAAGGTAATTTTGTAAATAATTAACCAAATGACCATTGATGTAATAATGAAATTGCTTCAACTTTTTCGACTTTTTCTCCAAGTCTTCTTCATTTATACATAAAGCCTTGCATTAAAATATATAATTTTACGAAATTATATATAAATGAAACAGTCTCGGACAACATTGATAATTATAAATTAATTTAGTAAAATAAGATGCTTTTGAAATACAAAATACAGTAAATAATTTTACAAAAATTTCGTAAATAAGTTATAACGTATTACGTAATGAGCCATATGTACAAAATAATTGACAAAGAAACATTTATTGACAAACTAACTCTAAGAGTACATTTTTTTATTTTGAATTTTAAATATTTTTAGGAATCATTTGCATTTAATTTGTTTTCAAAGACACGTGATAATGTTGAATATTATGTAAATTGTTTAATATATTAATGTTGAGCATTTGCATACGAGTAATTAATACTAGTGGATTATGGAACATATCTTGGGAATTTCATAGAAAACACTTAATTTCGTCATAATAATATAATATAATAATAATAACGTTGAATTAATAAATTCTCAAATTTTTAAAACTTTTCAAATTAAATAATTATATTATTTTTATCTTTTTTTATTTATTTATTTTTTTTATTTATTATTTTTTTTCTTCTTCTTAATTTATAGAAATATTAGTTGATTCGTCTTTTACATACGCATAACTAAATAGTATAAGTATTGTCATATTAATGTTCAATCGTTTCATTAATTTAGCAATACAAAGACAATTTATAATTTTATAAGTTTCATTCTCGGTAGGATTAGTCAATTGCCCAATACGAAATATTTCCAAATAGTTTAAAAAATTTCATATTTTACTATCATTTAGCTGCTATTTTTATAGCCTTTATTTTATCATTAAATATAGGTAAACAATAAAATGGGAATATCGAACAAAATATTTAGATGTTCTGGGGCCGTAAATTATATTCATACATGTATGATAATTCATTGTATCGTTGTTGATTTTAATTTCTTGAACTTACTTACTGTTTCCGACGGAATATCACATTATTTTCTAAGATCAACATTATGTTTGAATATTGGGCTATTTATCGACCGGTTTGCTCCAATTGATTATCCTGTGCTCGGAATAATAATTAAAAAGAACTAATTTGCAGATGAAACCGCACACCGGACCACACACCGACTGCTTAATAAAATGTCAAAGTAAGCACTGCAATGCTTCCACGTGTTGCTCGAGAGACGATTTGGACGATGACGAGCAGCACAATGACAAGCCAATGTTCAGCAAAAAATTCGGATCTAAGGAAATTCTCCCAGCGTCGTCGGGCATAGATCTAACAAAGTTTACCATGAAAGTTACCGAAGTAAACGAGACTTCCATCCGTACCAATGAGACACAACAGCCGCCTCCGAATTTAAAGCAGATAAGTGCGTGCGACATGGCCGTTGAAGTGAGTGGCAAGGATGCGAATAATTTTCGCACCGTAAATGTTGATGTGAAAAGTACAGCGCCGACGACACCCGATGAAGGTGAAACAATAACGGAATGTAGTGACAATTGCTCGCGCCAAGAGAAGATAAACATCAGTTGATGGAGAAAGTATGCGTGTGCCTTATTGTTATAAATGAGATTCTTTTCTTTTTCTATTTTTAACGAGAAGACTGTATGCTAGTATTAAATTATATAAAAACCGCAGTGACTTCTTATCTATTTGTACAAATGCACACGAGAGTCAAGATTCTGTACAATCAGTATGTTATGGAATATTGATTAAATATTGAAAGGCGAGTATTTTAATTTGTGAATTTTATACAATGCAATTATAAAGACACAGATAAATAATATTATATTATCCAAATACGTTTAGTATATTAAATAATAATTGTAAGATATATTTGTATAATATTGTTACTGTGCTTAAGAAAATATTTTACATACTAATATGTTGTAAGGAATAACAAATTTATTATACGTTGACGTTGTGTTGGTACAGTAAGTCTTGATATCCTACATAATTTCAAGCATGTAAATAGAAGATGTGGTATTTTTTTTTAATTTTTTTTCTTTATATATATATATATATATATATATATATATATATAAAATGTATAAATTTTATAAATATTCGTGAATGTTTAAAGTTTAGTTTATACGAAACAATTTTATTGAATATTAATCGTAATATTTTCAAACGATTCTTTATGCGTTAGTTTCAGTTTATTTATGTTCCTTTTTATATTTTAATATAATTGTTAATAAAGGAAGTATTCATAATTTTCGAATGTTATAGATAAAAATAAAAAACAAAAAAAAAAACAAAAAATACATACCGGTGCAATGTTTAATATATAAATTAACTTTATTAATACATAAGTTCAAATAATTATAATAAACTATAATTAATAAAATGTAATAAATTGCTGTTATTTGAAGTCTAAATTTTAAAAACAATATTTATTATTGTAACATAATATTGTATCAAATTTTCATAATTAAATTAACAGAAAATAGTCAAATTATTTGTTTGTTGTTATTTTGTTACGAATTGAGAGTAACAGTTGCCAATCATATTCTTTTCCAACTTTTCTTGTCTGCTTTCTAAATATTTACTTTGTAAGACAGATCTAACCAGCTACTAAGGATTTATTTATCAATTAAATTAAATTAATATACAATGTATGCACATCTTAAAATATATAATATTAAAAATCAAATTTAACAGTATTGATAAGAATTGCAGAGTTGTTTTATTTTGTTTTATTTATTTTTTTTTTTTTTTCAATTTGCTATTTCCTAAGTAATTATTTACTTATCTATTTTTACTTTTGTTACGTTCCAGTTTTTACCGTTATTAATAATAAACAAATTATATTAAGCTATTTGATTTAAGCACGTTTCAAATTAACGAGTACCTATCAAGTTAAGCATAATTAACAATATAATTTTTATTATTTCTAACTCAAGGTAACGTTTCATTGAAAATTAGATCTTAAATCGTGAATTCACCTTAAACTTATAAACTATTGTGTTAAATGTACGTTTCATTGAATATATGAATCATGAACCCATACTGAGGCACATAAAGTTTTTTTTTTTTTTTTTTTTTTTTCAAAGAACTGTCGTTAATTACGCGATGAAAATTATAAATTATTCGAGAGCATAAATTTACATCAAATTTTTTAATGACAAACGTATAGATAACAAAGTTTCTATTATCTTGTGTTAATGTTAATATTAAAATGTTTCATCATAATATTTTCAAAATTTTAATAATAAAATTAATTATAGACAAAGAATAATCGTTGATTTAGAATTTAGAATTTTACAAATATAATTTAGAACTCTGTGTTATTACGATGAAAGAAAATTTGAAAAAATCTACTATTACCGAGCGATACCGTTAAAATAAATAATTTAGTATAATGTAATAATAACGTCTTTAAACGAAAATAATATCTTCTTATTTTTACTTTATATATAATCTAAATGGAATATTTTTAACGAATTATTGATAAAATATATTATGAAAGAGATCGCGATATTTGTTCATAGCTTAAAGTATTACTTTTATCGTTTCATAAAAATTCTAAGTATCAATGATAAGAAAATAGAATACTCCCCTCCCCTTCCCCCGCCATTTCTAACGAAATAGCGATAAATTTAAGGAATTTTATTGAAATTTGCGTGAATCGATGAGGAGGATAAAGTGTAGATATATATATATATATATATATTTATTTTTTTTTTTCAATCTTAAAAGAAACTAATGAAAATTTATAAAATAAGCACTCTTACCTTGCAACGCTAGTTAATCAATTTGTACATGCAACATTGCCATAATGACTGATAGATAATATACTTTTACATTAATAAGAAACAATGTTCAGTCTTGTCCATTATATATATATATATATATATATATATATATATATATGTATAACAAGAAAATATCAACGAATTAATGCTGAGCATTTAAAGTATTTTGAATTTAAAATTGAGGGAAAATGAAGTAGTAAAAGACGAGTAAGGAGGAGCACACGTTATGCCCAATAATTTTACAATGACAATACAATTGTTGCACGACTGCATTGTGAGCACAATCTTTATTTAAAATGACTTTGGAGTTTGAGCGTAAGCCATTGTGATAAATTAATGTAGCCACTCCTCACGGTAGCCAGCTAAAATTATAAAACAAACGAAATAATAAAATAATAAAATAAGGAATAAAGGTGGGAAATGACACTACGTGATTTCAAAGCTATTACGTTGGCATACGTGAGACAACACCAACCCAACCCTCGACGTCATTCCGTCCTCCGGTCACACACTTCACCGCTCGATCTCTCCTCTCCGTCAACCTTAACTGTTTCTTAAACTGTCATTGTGAAATATTTTATAGTACTCCAGTCGCAGCAATCATACCGACACAAATTGTCACACGCACGCACGCACGCACACGCACAAAACATTTGTTATACTTACCCGTCATTTTCCTTTTAATAGCATTCGACCAATGCAACGAGTTAAAGTCGCTTGGATACTTAACGTCGATTACCGTCGATAAGGAAAGGTAATTTGTTAAAATAATTGATGAAATGAGCCTATTTGACACATCCCCCGTGTATTTTGGATACCCTAACCTGATCAAGAATCAAATTCCTATTCCACGATTTAATTTTTCTCTATTTTTCTTTGTAGGCTTTGTAGGGGTCTTCTCGGCTCAAATGTGTTGTATGCTCGAAGAAAACAATGAACGAATTGTTTGTAAATGACACGACACCTGGGTGTAGAAGAGCGTCGAGTATCACCTTGATGAGGAGAGGCCACAAAGGATGAGTGATAATGGCTTTAATGACTTTACATGAAGATATTTTCACTAAATAATAATTTCATTTTACGAATAATTTTTTATGTGTGTAAACACAAAGTGCACATTCTATTTTATAGGATTCCATTTAACGGCGGATTTTTCGAATGGACGTTATTTTTTATAAAAATGAGTCTGAATATCGTTAAGTTCTTCTCTAAAAAGAAACATCAAAATTCACAAGTTATTGATACGGTGGGGGAAATAGGATTACCCACGAATGTTTCGCATCAGTTTCATGTTATAAAGAATGCTCAGACCGGTCAGTTAGAAGGTTTGCCGGACTCGTGGATACGTTTGCTTAATACGCAGATAACAAAGTCAGAACAGAATGAGCATCCAGCGGCGGCGCTTCAGGCCATAAAATTTTATAATTATTCTATAAAGAAGAAGCCGACGCCTCAGGAGGAGGTGTTCAAACCCTTTGTTACCGAAGACGTCATAGAAGAAGAGTCCATAGAGATAGATAAAATTTTAGCCAAGAAATGCAATGCCCATCGAGATTCGGATGGCTCAACGTCGGCTAGCTCTACGGAGAGTCAGCTTCAAAGCTTACCGCCGGACCTTCCTCCAAAAATTAAGAAGCCACCGAAGCCAGCGCCCAGAAAATTTGTGGAGCGTAAAGAAAAGACCCTGACGGAAATCCTCGAAGATCTCAATAATTATCAATTAGAGGATGATTATAATCAATTGCCGGAGGACAGTAATGGCAATACGCAGAGCGCGGAAAATAACGTTGAGCAGCAAGGGGAGAGTCCAGTCTTGCGAAGGAAAACTAACAGCTCGCTACCGACTCTAAGCGACGAAGAGGTTTACGAAGAACTTAAAAATATTTGTCAAAGCGACGATCCACAATTGAGATTCGAAAGGAGTAAAGAGGTTGGCGCTGGCTCTTCCGGCACGGTGTTCATAGCGACTGATTTATCAAATAATCAGAGAGTAGCTATTAAGGATATCGATTTGTCTAAGCAACCGAAGAAGGAACTAATGCTTACGGAGATTAAAGTCTTGAAGGAATTCCGTCATCCAAATTTAGTGAATTTTTTAAACTCTTATCTAGTCGACGATCATCTTTGGGTGATTATGGAATTATTAGAAGGCGGACCTTTAACCGACGTTGTGACTGAAACTGTGATGAAAGAGGCCCAAATAGCCGCCGTTTGTCGAGAGGTTCTAAAAGCAGTGAGCTTCCTACATACTAGGGGCATTATTCATAGAGACATTAAGTCGGACAATGTTCTTCTAGGAATGAATGGAGCGGTTAAAGTGACAGACTTTGGTTTTTGTGCAAATATTGTGGGTGACGAGAAGCGACAGACTATGGTAGGAACCCCTTATTGGATGGCACCCGAAGTGGTTACAAGAAAACAATATGGTAAAAAAGTTGATATTTGGTCATTAGGTATTATGGCGATTGAAATGATCGAGGGTGAACCTCCGTACATGAAAGAGACACCATTGAGGGCTTTATATTTGATAGCAGCTATCGGTAAACCACAAATACCTAGTTGGGATACTCTCAGTGCACAATTTCAAAACTTCTTAGAAAGATGCTTGGCCGTTGAAGTTGACGAAAGAGCATCAGCCGAAGAATTGTTAGTCCATCCCTTTCTTGATAATTGTGCGGAACTCACTACCTTGAGCCCATTGATTCGCGCTGCACAGAAAATTCTTCATAAAGTTTTTTGAAACCGTAACGTTCGACCGCAGGATTTCAGTCTTAAGTTGCTCTCCTACAAAACTTTTTCCACGATCCTACACTTGTACTTCAATCTGCAACCATATTCATTCCAAAATATTGCATTTAACAGATACGAATATGCCTATTATTTGTAACGAAGACGTACAATCCACAGATTCTTCTTACTTTCTACAATTGTATAAAAAAATATCTTTAAAATATGATTGGACAATTCTGTAGTTAATTTATAAAATTCATCGTAACGAGGCTTTGTTACTCTTACAAAACAAAATTTAGTAAATATTTTGCATTCCTTAGCAAGTGCCAGAAAAGTGCAATTTTATAAAATTTATACAATCCAAAGTATTATTTAAGTTCGTTTATAAAACAAAAAGAACAAAGAAAGAAAGAAGAAAGAAAAAAAAAAAAGAAGGAATGAAATTTGTTTATCTTTATCATTGGCATCAAAGTGCAGTGCTTATTTGGCAAATTTTAACCATTATAATTTCACAAATTATATATGATAATTTGTAAAGAGATGCACTTTATGTTTTTCAACATTGGTTTACAAGAAATACAATAAATTTTAAAGTATATTTTTACTCGTGAGATTCATGTTTTATAGCATTTAAAACACATGTATTAATGGAAGTATTATGATACAGAGAATAGGCAGCAAATGCGTTCATTTTTATATATTTTTTAAAACAAAATACTTTTCATACAAATGTTTATGTGTGTACTTGTCAATTTTTTTAGAAAGTTATACTATTGTAATGTGCCTAAGAGCATATAATTGCTCAATGATATTTAAACCATAATACTATTATACGATAAATAGTATATTGTATATAAATATGTATATTTAAAAATACTTCATAAATAATATGCAATTTTAACAAATAATTGACTGGTCTTGCGTTTTATTATTATATTTTTTGTTTTTGTTTTTATAAATACTTTATTATTTACAACGTAAATCCTTGACTCGACAAACATTAATCTTCTTACTTACATTGCATACCAATATCGCATTGATTTTCGTACCATTGCAGTTAGATCATTTACATAATAAATTATAAAATTACTAATTTGATCTAATGTTACTAATAACAGTTTAGTAGTAACTCGTGCATTCAAACATTATAATTACGTTAACACCTCTATACATTGTTCCAAGCAAAATTCAATTATTGTTTAATATTAAATAATCTATTAAATGTCTTGTCATCGATTGCTATAAAACGTTTATACATCTTACATACTCTTATGTTTACTAAACATAAGAGTCTAAAATGTTTACTCAAGGCATTGCAATGGCCGTATCTTGAGAATAAATCAACGATTTTTTTTCTTTTTCTTTTAATAACTGAGGATAGTAAAATATATATGTAACTCTATGTACAATGAAATTGATTGACGTTCTGGATATCCAAATATATTAATTTTTGGAATAATAGATAAAATTATCTATTATTAATCGTGCTTCTTAATAGATACTTTTTTGCGTGGAGAATAATAAATTCTGTATAATAAATTGAATTATGAGGTAGTGTTTCTTCGTAAACTTTCTTCTTTCTGAAATAAACGTTAATAAATATTAATGATAAATTTGTCATTTAATATATATTGTGTATGTCTGGCGTTTGCATACACCTTCGTCGGTATTAACATTGAAACGAACAATCAAATTATCCTTTTAAAAAGTTGGAATAAATTTTTCATTATAATAAATTTGTTTATCAATATAATATATCAAGTATACGATTATTTCAATCAATATATACAATAATTTCATTTCATTTGTAAAAATTATAAAAATTATTATTTTCTTTCTTCCAAAGACTTAGCTTCTTAATATAAATACAGTATTTTCATTTCATTTGTGTAATTAATCTTAAAAAACAATTGTTATTTAAACATATTAAACAATAGACGATTGTTTACGCGATAGTGTAAATAGAGTCGTGAATCATCATTACTGAATCATAACATAAAAGCATAGAAATGAAATTTTTTTTCTGATAAATACTTAATGATAAGTAATTGTGAACGTAAAATTTCACGTTCGTTGCAACTTACCAATATTTCATTTACTGTCTGAAATTGTTCTTCCTGCGACTAGAACTGACGGATCTTGTAATAATGCTTGTAAAAGTTGAAGAAAATTAGCAGCGCGTTTGTCATCTATTGCGCCTCTATTGTACGACAAAGTGACATTCATTACTAAATTTCGATTCGTCGATAAGTCTAAAATATTTCTAAAGTTAGCAGAAGTTTTACAAATAAAATGTAAATGCATTTAAATGAAATTTCATAAAGTACCAAAGACAGCACGACTGCCGCCTACTGCAAGAATAGCATTCTGTGGTGGATTAATAATTGCAGAAAAATTATTAATGCCAAACATGCCAAGATTAGATATTCTAAAACAAACAAATATCATAAATATTATAAATATCAAAGAAAATAAGTCAATAGTGTGTGTGTGTGTGCGTGCGTGTGTGTGTGCGTGCGTGTGTGCGTGTGTGCGTGCGTGCGTGCGTGCGTCTATAACTAGTCAATTGTAATGTGACAATTCATTTAATGACCACGAAACAAATTTCTTTTCATAAATAATACAAAATTACAATGTAACAGCATACGTTGTAATGGAAATTCAAAAATATAATGATAAATTTTATCAGACTCAGTTTCCTTACATACGGCATTTAAAATCTTTTCGTTCACTTTTGACATTCAATGATAATGTATAGTGAAATTTATAAAAAAAAAAAAAAAAAATGTTTAATACATTCGAGGTAAATGCTCGTTGATAAATAATATCAATGAATCTATTTAAATAAATATTAATCTTAATATATCCTCGAATGAAAAACTCTAAGAATGCAGTTAAAATTGAAATATACGAGAATGTTCCCCCTTGAAATTCTTGAGGTTGAAGTTTCCCTTCTCGAGCTTTACGAGATAATACTTTGATATCGTTTGAGATCTCGTCTAATGTTTTGGTTGCCGTGTTGAATACAATAGGCGTTATGAGGCCCGTTGGTGTAGATACAGCAATCGACACATCAACTTTCGTTTGACGAATTACCTACGAAAAATATAATAAAAGGAATATTTCAATTACCACGGGACGGATAACTTGTTACACTGTTACCTCGCCATTTTTATACAACGAATTCACTTCGGGGCATTCTAGGAGCACATGACCGACGGCTTTAACAATAAAGTCATTTATAGATATTTTATTATTCGAAGCCTTAAATTTTTTACGTATTTCCTCGAGTTTGCTTATGTTAATATCGATACTAGCATATGCATGGGGTATACTAGTCTGTAAGTTAAAGACATATTACAATTAATAAAAATATAATATTTATCGCAATCGCGTCGATAAATTTTTATTATAAAAGTCACCTTCGATTCGATAAGTCGCTTTGCTATTATAGCTCGGATGTTTGATATGGGAATATCTATAAATGTAGATGGTTTTATCGGCAATGTGATCGCTTTAGATGGCATTTTACTGATTGGTGTAGATTTTGCAGCAACTGTAATTAGGAGTAATAATCAATGGATCGGATTATTAATTAATGTATTTAGAAAGTGATTTCACTCTTCAAATAATTTATGATAATTCAATATTTATACAAACCAGCTTTTGGTGCAACCTTTTGTAAGCTTTTGGATTGAATGTAGGCTAATACGTCCTCCTTTAAAAGACGATTAGGGCGGCCAGAACCCTTGATAGATCCAGAATTTATATCATACTCTTCTAATAATCTCTTTACCGCTAATCCATAGACCCTACAGATGTAAAACAATATTTGAAAATTATGTCATTCTCAAGGAGTATTAATAGAACATGATTTACTGAATAAAAGAAATTATATTTTAATTCAATATCTTGTAGAATTAAAAGCATTAATTTATGCAAAATACTTTACAAAAACTACAGGCCGAAAACTACGTATTAAAGATATTTGTTGTGTATTAAATCGCTTACTGCTTATTTCCTAGTGTTTTATCTACAGAACTTTTATCAGCATCTGTAGGTTTTTCATGTTCATTCGCCAAAGGAATATTCGAAGCACCAAAGCCTTTATCAACTGTAATCGTAGATGAAGGCGTTGTTTCTTTTGATATGCTTTCAGAAGATACGGCTGTATCTTTCTGCGAATATTCAACAGATTTCCAATCTTCGTCGACTTCAACGGTAAGTGCTATTATTTCTCCAACATTAGCTTTCTTTCCTTCGCCAATCTGTAAAAACATTTATCATCGATTTATGTAACTAGGTTTGACAGAAGATAATAAAGAAGCATAGAAAACGTTAACTAAAACCTCAATATTTTCCCTATTTAGAGGCTTATTACAAAAACAAACATTAATATGCATTCTTTAAATAAAATAGAGAATAAATACCTATATTTGATAAAGTTTATTAATATAAAAAAATTAAAAAAAAAAAAAAAAGCAAAAATTACAATGAAATAACGACTTACGATAATTTTAGCAAGTATACTTTCATCTTCAAAGTCCAATGTCATCACAGCCTTATCAGTTTCGATATCGGCAATGGCATCTCCTGGATTAATTAATTCGCCTTCTTTTTTAAACCATTTTACAATCGTGCCAGTTTCCATTGTAGGTGAAAGAGATGGCATAAGTAGCTCCTTACCTTTGACTTTATACAAAATTAAATGGCATTTATATAATATATATAAAAGCATAATATAACTCAGTAAGTTGAAATAATAATTATACGAAGGAAAAAACAATAATAACAATAATAATTATAATTATAATTATTATTATCATTATTATTATCATTATTATTATTATTATTATTATTATTATTATTATTATTGCAATTTCCTTATCGTTAAACGAGGTTTCTTTAAAATCAATTATATAATTTTTATAACTCAATAAATATACAAGGATGTGTTAAAATAATAACACTTGATATATCCAATTGTAAGTCATTTATAAATTATAAATTTAACGATTAAAACATAAAATTTTGATAATACATTTATAATTCATTATAAATATTTCATAAGATATTTGAAAAATAAATTTTTTATAAAATTCCTTAAATTTAAAAATAAAATAACAAAAAAAAAAAAAATTAAAAATTAAAATAACATTAAGTTCAAATAAATAGAATAGTTTATAATATTACGTTATTAATTGTACCTGATTAACATTTTTTGGTTTTAAAATTCAAGGATGCCGTGAATTTAATATCCTCGTTTGTGTATTTTAATAACATAGTCAAACTATATTATAATAGCTTGCATTTGAGTTTGAAAAGGATTTTCTCGCTTATAATTAATAAATTCATAATTAATAATACAATTATAAATGGTCAATAAGATATTATTATACAAATTAATATATTCAATCAAGCGCGTCGTTATAATACCGATAAAAAAAAATGTAAGAATCGCGATAAGGTAAAAGATAGCCAATACAGGACAAATTTCTAAATGGACCCTAACCTCGAATTTTCATTAAAACACATTGATCTTTTAAAATTGAATAAAAATCTCACCATTAAAGATCCAACTGGTGTGAAAACATGATCGTTGATGCCTCGGTGGTAGCAGGATATACGGCACCACGTGCTTACTATGCGTTGTAGTAAAAATCCTTATACCGAACTTAATCATGTTAGACATATTTCGATTTTTGATGCCCGATGACGAAATGTCTAATATTTCGTAATGATACGCACGCGCGAAAAAAGAATGAGAAAAATAATGGGAGTAAGATAGAGAAAGAAGCGGCCTTTCACGTGCAGAGCAGACGATTTCTAAATATTCTCCCATGAGAAAAGAAAATCTGTGACCTTTATTCGCCTTAACAATTGACACTCCCACATATCGAATATCCGCGATCTTGTCAAGGTTATTCAGTTTTACGTAGATATCATGATATTGCATTTGCATTTGGAAAATATTATATGAACGTGTATTAGTAATACTTGTTTAATTATAAAGGATTTCGATCGTCTACTGCATAATTCTCTTTCAATCGAATATAATCGAATTCAATCTATTCGATCTATAAATTATGTACAACTATTTATTTATGCCAAACGTTTGGTAAGATTTTTATTAATTCATTAATTCAATAATTAATTGAATAAGATGAAAATTTAGATTTGTACGATGATAATATCTCTAATATCTCTATATTGCTAATACTTCGGAATCGGTAATTGAAACTTTTGGTAATTATATTTATTCTTATGCAACATATTTTTTCAAATATTAACATAATGGTTTAAACATTATTGAACTACTTGTGTTAAAATTGCCGTGCATACGTTAAAAAAAACAAAATAAATAAATAAAAATTATAACATCCAGTTTTCAAATGGACATCGCAAGAGTAAATTTTTTAGTAATTGTGATAGATAAGAAATAGATAGGAACAAATTAGTATTTTTTAATTTAAAGTTTTGTATTATTGTGAGGAGAAATTACTTTATTTACATTGTACGAGTAAAATATTATTCGATAAATGCAAAATTTAAATAATTATTTAGAAAAACTCGTTTAAAGTATCATATATATATATATATGAATATATAAATTATTTATATAATAAATATAAGAATCGAATAATTGATTGTGTTTTGTTATTATAAATTAATTCAATTGCTTTTCATTGCATTATTTTATTAAAAGAAAAAAGTTGGAAGATAAAATAAACGAGTCACAAGAAATGCAAAACTTTATTACAGTTATTGTGAATGTATAAGTATTTGAAATTATAAATCTATAACTATATTTGTTCAATAATATGTCAAATACATTATAAAAAGTTATAGATGAGAAAAGTAAAAGTTTCTAAGAACTTTTATATAAAAAATTGTATTTACATCCAAATTGATATTAAACTTTTTATAATGATATATTCAGTAGAGATTCTGAAAATATTCAAACAAATATATATATATATATATATATATATATATATATATATATTGTTACTATCGTAATTTTAAATTAAGGTCAGTTGTAAGATAATTTGGTATATGAGCATTATTCGTATTTCTAAGTGTATTGTTCCATTCCAACAAACAATAGTCGACAAATGATTTCAGTACGACAGATAATTGACCATATTATAACAATACGATACAGTAATTGAAACTCTTACATGCATAAACTAATTATTTATGCTCTTGAAAATTTGATTTAATCGCAAAATTATATGCATGTGCATTTTTTTTTCTTCCTCTTGTTTTTTCGTACCTCTCCAATGATGAAATTGCCAATTAGATGGAAAAGTCTGATTCGTTAGAAATTCAGACACATTTTGTATAAAAGTCAAAAACGAAATTAATAAATAATATGTATTTTTTAGAGTAAGGAAAAAATTATTTGTTGATCTATTGCACAGTATTTTACATTTAATACAAATATTTTACAATAAATTTTTAAACACCATATGGTCAAATGTTTTTATATTGAACTTAATTATGACTATGAAAATAACTTTATAAAATTTATTTTCAACATTATTCAAACGTAGTACAAGCATGATAATAAATTAAATTGGCTAATTTTTTAATTATGCTAATTAAAATTTTTGATATATCATTATTATAATATTATTTTATAATTAACAGTAAACTATGTTTATAACAGGCCAAGAGAAAGATATTAAAAATCATCGCGAAGTACTGATATAAATATTAAATTTACTCTTACGCAAGACCAATTGATAAAATATATATCTTGATTTGATAATAATATATTGTATTATTTAAAACATCCTAAAAAATATTATAATAAAATTATATTATAATTTAAGGAGATTATTAAATTAATTGTATATAAAATATATTCGTAGTATAAAAATTTTCTTCATTCGCATTAAGCGTTTGTCAGGTTAACACAAAATTAAATTTAATAGAAAGAATTGAAAAGTTTTGAATTTTGATAAATATATCGATGATTGATTAAAACTTTACACGTGCTGTTTCAGAATATCAATATACTTTCACACAAATAATTTATTTTAATCTCAATGATTTTTGACATTCTTATGATTATTAACTTGTTACGTTAATTTATAATATTTTTCATATATAATTGTTCATTAATATTAAAATAATTTTTTAAAATTCACAATAAAAATTTATAAAATAACGTTTATGCTATTTTTATACATCACACGACATATCGTACGACGAGATTAGATAATTGAATTTTTAAATTAATTCATCAGATTACTGTCGTCTACTAATAAAACTTATCTCCGGTTACATGAATGTGAGCATGAAATATACTAAATTTTTATCTAAATTTATTAAAGTTTTTAAAACATATCATTGATAAAAATAATTATAAAATTTGCAAAACTAAGACAAATGAATTACTATTAAATTTTCAATCAATATTTGTATTTATAAGTAAGTCGATTGTATTAAAAAAAGAAAAAATATCTTAATTTCTGCTACTGGATTTCTTGAATACTTTGCAAATATTTTAATTGTATTTCTTGCAATATTTTTATATGGAATTTTTTTTTTTTTTTTTTTTTTTTAAAGGAAAACATTTTCTTAATAAATTATCTAAACTAATAGAACGAATTGTATCCAAATAAAGGTTGGACCCACAGATATCAACAAAAAAGACTAGAGCAATGTTATAATAATGGAACACCAAAGTTACGTTTAAAATTAAATTTATGCTTGAAGTGCATTTAAATGAAACTTTAACGTTATATATTCAAATAATTCTTTATATATGTTATTTAATTTCCGCCTTGGAAAAAAAAAATTTTGTATTATTATACGAGAGTTAAAGATCAAATAAAAAATTCATATTAACTATTGATTGATCGCGCTGTTATGTAAAATATTAATTATGGAAAATTAAATGTTATTTCGTATCTACTTTGACATTCATATTATTAGCATAAGACAGAATTTAATTAATTATCTGAATTTTGTTCTGCATAGAGTTTATTTTAATAATGATTTTATGCAATTACCTTCTTGTAAAATGACATGTGATATTTTCAGTTTTAATTCATAATCTTCGTTTAAAAAAAAACAAAAAACAGATTGAATAAGATAACGAATGAACAAAGGAAAAGCAAGTGGATTTGAAAAAATTACAGTCAATTTCTTTTTTTAAAACCTCGATAGATTGATGACATAATATAATATGCAATAATATCATATCAAGATTCTCCCTCATAATTACATAATACATTTGCGAGTAACAGCCACGTTTCCTCTAATTGGTACAGATATCTTTCATCCATATTAACATCTGCACACTTATAACTGCATTGAAATAGAAATTAGGGACTGGAAGTGCTTAGTTATAAATTCTTCCTAAATAGCTTAAGGTAGGAATCTTTTAAATAAACAACTAAATAATTTATATTAAAGATAATAAATTTGTATCTCTGAATCATATAAAATTTACATTAATTGAACAAGCATCACAAGCCGATTTTAAGGAGAAAATCTTAGTAAGGATTTTTAAACAAATAGAGAGAAAATATACTTTTTATGATAATTAATTTTTATTGGGATAATTTTTATGATATTTAAATATATTAACTTTTAAAGATGTTATGAGTAATACTACATTGTTCTAGTCTACGAATATATTAGATAATAGTCTTGTAACATGTTATTTAAGTTAATAAAATTATAACTTTCTCTACTATTTGTATTAAATTTTGATGAGTTTTTTTTTTTTTTTTTTTTTTTTTTTTTTTTTTTTTTTTTTTTTTTTAATAACATTACATTTTAAGTATTGCTACATAACTATATATATTTAACATAAAGCAAATAATCGACGCTTTTATTTGATCAATTTATTCGTTACGAGTAATTAATTCCTTATAAGATTTATCTATTATTAGGAAATGTAACAGTCGATATTAAAATTCACCTATCTCGATTAAAAATGTAGTAACTTAATTCATGTACAAAAAAAATAAATAAATAAATAAATAAATAAATAAATAAAGTTTTATAGAATAATCATTGGTATGCAAATATTTTTTTATTAGCTTCATCTACACAAAATTTTAATCGTGATTGGATATATATGTATATATATATATATATATATATATATATATATATATATATATATATATATATATATATATATATATATACACACATGTATGATAGGTTGAAAAGAAAAAAATAATAAAGTTTGTGCTTTTAAAAATATATATATTATATACAATATACTACAAATGTAAAATGCAAAAGTGAATGCGTATCGCCCGACATTTCAAGAGAATATCACTTTGCGTAGGCGAATGATATGTTTATATACAAAATTTGTTTTACAACCTTGTTGACAGTAAAATTATAAAAGTGAGTGGTGGTGGATGACGATGTCCCAGCAGTGTATTATTAAATTATTCTCAATACCACGTATCGCTTTATTGCTCGGATAAGGAAAACCTGAGTTCATCTTCTAACTGAATCATTATATTAATCCTTGTCCACTTACGCCGGACTTTTAATTTTACAATGCTCGTAACAATCATATTGCGCTTACATTTTCAATTTCAATTTACAAGAACATACAAATCTGTTATTCTTTATAAGAAACATGTTTTCAAATACAGTGATCCTACATTTTTCAACACTTATTGTTTTAAAGAATCTAAAACCTTAGATAGAATGACCAGCATACAATATAAATAAATAAAAATATGGCAACCATAGGAACCTCAATTAATTGAAATTTATACAAACAATTTAAAATGCTTGCCAATTTGTCAAGGTATAATTCGTATAATAGAAATAATCAGAAGCCAGGTATAAGCCTTAAGGTCTATTGTTGGATTCATTCGATAGGAAAAGCCCATGGGTGATCAACGTAGCCATATTGAATTTCTTTAAGATGTTTAAGAAGAGTTCTGAAAATTGGTTCGGTGTGATCCAGCGTTGGCAAGTAAAAACTCTGATCCATATATTCTATGAATGAAATTGGACTGACTATGCAGGCTGTACCAGCACCAAATAGTTCTAGGAGCTACGGGAAAAAAAAAAAAAAAAAAAAAAAAAAAGTCATTTCTTTAAAAAATTGCATATATATATATATGATTAAAATGAATTTACAATGCGACAATTAACTTTTATTGAGAAGTAATGAAAAATTGTTATAAAAATTAACATATCGAGTAAAGATTCGTATCAACAGCTTTAATGAATAAAATTTAATATATTTAATATATTATTTAATATATATATATATATATATATATATATATATATACACACATTTGTTCATCTCCAATAGAATAAAACTTTGTAGGTATTTGAGTGTCGAGAGAAATAATAATAAAAGCGAATTAAAATATAAACATAAGAATTTTTATAAATGAATTTATAATTACTACTTTTAATGTAAGGGCAAGTAAGTTATCAATGTAATTTAAAATATTATATTTTTTATGAAATGCAAGGACATTATTTATTGTGTCATGTTGATAAGGCGGTCATAAGCGATTTACTTAATTTATACGTATTTATCTTATCTTGTAAAATATTAAAAATACTGCATATTCTTACTCTATTTTCCGATAATAATTGACAAACTTCTGCCATTGTGATTTTTCTTTCGGATACTTTAAATTGGTTCCATTCTTTGGCAAGGGTTAAAATTGAATTCCTAGTTATTCCTGGTAGAATAAGACCATTCAATGGAGGTGTAATCAGTTCTTTGTCTAAAAATAAAAATTGAAGCATAGTATGGATTTTTACGAAAAGTTGTCCACGCTTTTATTAAACGTATTTTATTAATTTATCGAACTACTGTCCTACTCTCGTATTAATTATATAGTGCTTATAAATAGAATAATTATTACCTAATAATTTAAACAATAATGCACATAATAAAGGAATGCATATTCGAAATAAACAAGATAATTAATAATGGCAAGAGCATAAGTTCACTATTATAAATAAATCGTAAATCGATAAAATTGTTAACTACAATAAAATACAGAAATTAATAATATAATTGTAATCGTTAATTGTAATATTAATGCGTGGAACAAGTCATGACTATTAATAAGTAAGAGAACATCGTGATAGTCACCTCCTTGATCGTTTATACAAAAGAGGAAAATATTCATGGTGCCAGCTTCTGTTAATTGACGATCCTCTCCATAAAGCCAAAGAACCTGCTGTAACCCCTTCTCGGTCGCTTCCTTTTGTACGTGAATCGTTGGTGCATAATTACTTCCCATTTTTCGGTCTCCGCAACCGCCGGGCCAAGCTCTCGTGTACCGAGGATCCGCGAGCAACGACACGCCCTGATTCATCTCATGGTGTTTGAAATAAGAGCCCACTGGGCTGAGGATTACGTACAACATTGCCGAATCCGAGGTAGCCACTCCCAATGTTGGCTAGGAATTAAAAATTTCATACGTTCAAAAGTCTGCGTATGCTATTGCGCCAATTACAAATTAACATTTATCCTAATTTATCGTAATTGCATTCCAACTCGCGCAACATACACATTATTTAACAATAGCTCATTGAAATTGAAAGGAGGGTTGCACGATTACTTCTGCTCTGCTTGGTTATTACAATCAAACTGGCTTGTTGTAATAATAATTATCGACGTAAGTGTACGAGCACAGTCAATATTTATTAGCTGCACGGAGAATTATTTAAGACTCGATTGAAAAAATTGAGATTTCCAATTTGCTTATTAATTTTGAAATGGTAATTTTGCAAACAGTTTATAAAATGTTTATTCTTATTTTTTTTATTTTTCTTTTTTATTTTCTCTTTCTTTTAGTATAATCTTATCGGCTACTTTATCGCGGCATTTTTTTATTTTATCTATATCGTTGCTTTTATTATAAACACTTTTAAAATAAAAATTAGCCTACAGCTATTTGATTTATATTTATAAGCTTATAATACAACTTATTATGTCATATTCGCATACTCTAAATGTAAATTAATTGAAAGAATTATCTCACACGATTGATATAAACTTTTGTTTGCAATATCTATTATTTCTGAAGTTTTAATAACGTGTGCAAATAAATCAAGATTTATTACGAATAGGTTTATTATCAAAAATATATTACGAAAGTAATATATCGATACACAAACATTTATTTTCTTTTAATATCAAAACTATTTTTCAATTCTTAATAACGTAATATTTATTTTACATGAACCCCAATTTAAAACAGACAATTAAATGTTTAAAAACATTTTTTAACGATATGTATTATTCGAAATTTCTATCAATTAAATTAGAAGAAAATTAACAATTATCATTGATAAGTTCAAGTTTTTAATAAATATATTTAATCCTTAATATCATATTACTGACAATACGTTAAACAAGTCAGTGGCTATTTATTTGCGTAAAACATTAATAAATAGCATACAAGTTAGTTGTTAATAAGTGAAATTATAATATTTGTAATGAATGTTATAGAGTTACAAGTCTGATAACTTGAAGCTGAACTGGAGCTATAGAAGCGAAAACGCAAATGATAAGTAATGCCCTGTGTTGTTGGTATTGGCAAAAGAATTTCATAATGTTCATCGTTATTTTACGCTAAACAATAACAGTAAGAGTAAAAAGTTTTGGTAAAAAAAAAAAAAAAAAAAAAAAAAAAAAAAAAAAAAAAAAATGAGAGAAAAAGAAGAGAGAAAAATACATCTATCTCTACATTAACTCGTCGCTTTTCTTCACAGCTATTCATAATCTCTGTAGTTAAATGTATTATTTTGAGATCATGAACAATAATGAAAGAATATTTTTTGTTTAAATTGCAAGTAGATTAATTTAAGATAAAAGGAGCTACCAGCTACCAAGCAAGCTACGTGAGATTGGGCTAAGGAATGTATACTTGATCGATTAATGAAGTTATATTGTTTTGTTTGGGTCAATATAACAAAGAAATAGTCAAAGAATTCCTGCGGAAGAATGCTTATCGCTACGTATGTTCTAACATACGTCACAGTACGGTCGATCGATTTCCTTATGACATGATAAAGGGAGTATCATGAATCTGACATGTTGACTGGGATCTATATTAAATAAAAGACAGAGATCCGCCCCTGGGAAATCAAACATCACGCCACGAAATCCCACATAGGGTTATCGGTATTGAGAAATTGACTGATTAAACCCCGAGTAAAATGATGCGAAGTCAATGACGCTGATGACATAAGCGACTTTGATTATCAGGAGCTTTGCAATGAAAATAAGATCTAGGATAGAAATATAAATTCTTTGCAATAACAATTATCAATGTTTTTTTTACCTTAGTGTACTTGTATACTTACGTCAATGCCTATTAATGTGGGCCTTATGTATAGGCTCGAGGCTTCTAAATGTGGTACCCACTCTTGATCGATACTAATAAGTCTGTTTATGCATTTAATCAGTTCCATTCCATTGAAAGTCGGTAAGCCAGATCTTAGAGCCGAGGCATTCATTCTATCCATATTCATTTCCGGCCTAAATACTCGTATTTTCCCATCGATTCCTCGATATGCTTTCATACCCTCGAAAAGCTGGAAAAGTTATTATGTCAATATGGCTACTTCATAATACGTTAGCATCAAGACCAACATAATATGATTATTGAATAGAACAAAGAAATACCTAAATATCTAAATTAATCTATTAAAATTAATAAATCACGTATAATTCATTACCATAAGAACTAATTAAAATTTTTTCAAATTTAGTAACGTTCAAATTATTTGATATTTTGTAATTTATAATAAAAAGAAGCTTGAAAATCTTTAATAATATGTAATCCGATCCTACGCTATACTATATTATTATGAAGAATTTCTATTTGAAATAGTTGTTAAAAGCCAATGTGAGATAAATGCTAACGATAGTTTAAATTTTCTAAAATGTCGAATAAATTAAGGATTATAAATGAATTTAAAAGTACGAGTGCTTCCTTAAACATTAGTTTGGAATTGTTAATTTATTACTTTGAAAGAACAGTATTGACGCATAAATTCTTATGTGATAAATTACCTCAACAGCATAATGAAGAACTTTGGCAGCCGGATGTAAGACCAAATTTTCAAATGGAGTAATTTCTGGTATTTGCCATCCGCCAAGAGCTTCATAATAAAATACTTTCAGCATATGATCTGTGAAATATTTACCAAACCCTAATTCGCTTACATTGGGCTTTGGTTGTAATTGGTGAGGCGCTGCCAACCGAACCGACAGATCTGAATACTGTAATAATTAAATATCATATTCTTAGTTTCACTAATTAAACACTATAATTATATTCATTAATAAACTTGTCATTCTAGTCTATTAAATGTACCTTAAACGTTCTGTCCGGCTGTACAGTTTCTTTATCTCTTATTTTTAAAAATGAGCTCCATCGCACATTGGGCTGCAGCTGATTTAAAAGGCCACTAAAGGATAAAATCTGCAAACAGGATGTAAGGTTAGTTTAACCTTCATACAATTAAATTATAAACTCAAAATAATCATGTATCAAAGACCCACCTTTTTACTTTGACTTATCATACTTTTTTATTAGAATAAACTATCAATATTATATCAAACGACATAAAAGCATATAATTATTTCATTAAACGATAATTATTAAAATTAAATTTAAATTAAATTGCTACATATGAACGCGAAATAGTCACATATTTTGTTTATCCAGGAGTCGATTTTTGGCTACGGAATGATTTGCACTATTTTTCATGATTGTATGATATTTGAATATTAATAATTATATAAAACTTGTGATTTTTGCAATTGATATTACATTATAAAAGCTTTGTGCCGTTAGTGTTAAGATAATACATCGAACAAAACGAATTTATTCCAGTGGTTATGATTAATTGTAACAGATATACTTAATAGCTGACAAAAGTATTTTGTAAACATAAAAGAAAAAAAAAAGAAAAAGAACACACTAATAGAATTTCATTTTAAAAAAGTTCCAAAATGTCATCTTCTCTTTAGCATCCGATATTCACACACTAAATTATACGAAATTCGTTAGCCTTCATTAAACTACCAAATCAAAGTCTTAAATTAAAAATTTAATTCCACTAAAAAAGTATTTTCTTGAAATTCTCCTTAAGTGTATGTATTCTTGGCCGCGTAGGGTTGCATAAGCTAAGAACGAATATTTGTAAAACTTCAAATTCAACTATTTTTCAACGCTGATTTAAACGCTCATTGAAATATCAATTAACTTCTCAGAATGCACGAACTTTATTTGACTTTACATTGGACAAGGTGAATTCATAGGGAATTTTTGAAAGAAAAAAAAAACAGAATTCGAAACCGTTTTTGCGTATAGTTTCCATACACACGTGCCCGAGCCCGTAAAGTTTAATGCAGGTAAGGTTAGTACGAAAGACCGCGTAAAGGTTGCCATTTGAACAAGACATAAAGCAAATGGGTTTGATATGGGACTAAAAAGGTTTGGATTAATTTAAGCAGATTCGCCAATTTATCGAATAACATTATTATGCAATTCAATTCGAAAATTACGTATGGATAGTATAACGTACCTTACGCCTCAGGTGAACCATTATTCCTTATCCTCTTTAACGCTTTGTTTGGCTCGAGAACTCCGTTAATCGAGTGACAGCAGTTGTATAATCGATTGCAAATCAATGCACATTATACGACGAAGCACCTTAGAATTTAACTTAATTCCTTCTTCTTCTTCTTCTTCTTCTTCTTCTTCTTCTTCTTCTTCTTCTTCTTCTTCTTCTTCTTCTTCTTCTTCTTCTTCTTCTTCTTCTTCTTCTTCTTCTTCTCCTCCTCCTTCTTCTTCTTCTTCTTCTTCTTCTTCTTCTTCTTCTTCTTCTTCTTCTTCTTCCTCCTCCTCCTCCTCCTCCTCCTACTCCTCCTCTTCGTCTTCTTCTTCCTCTTTTATTTATCAGCGAAATTGCTACACTGCTCTTTCATTCAAAGCTCTCTTAATAACTTGATCGATCTCCGAGAGAAAATCCTTAAAATCATCGGAATTGAATTCTCCCTTTGCGGCAACACTCACACGAACTAAGGTACACGAATAAAATAGGGCTAACGATTACAGCAGGCCAGTCGATCGCTTTATAGATCGTCAACATGTGAATCCGATCTCTTTTACGAATAATCACATCTCCAAAGCAGGGAGATTCTCGAATGGAAATGGGAATTAAGCGCGAGGGCCCACACGGGACTTGCAGCGTAAAATTTTCTTTTAGCGAGCCGCGCTCCGGGGCACTTGTGTCGATTTACGTACGCGCGCGCGCGTCTCTCCGATACTTCTCGAATAATGAATTTGAATGAAGGCATCAGCTAATATTTTATTTATCAAAGCCGAAGGAGGGGGCTAGTAAGTATAGACAAAAAAAAGAAAAAAGAAAAAAAAAGAAAACGAAGGCGCGTCTTTCTCGATCTTCGTTTCCCCTCCTTTTCTTGCGACGTTCGTCTTGATAACGTCGAGTGCGCGCTCGTGCGCGCACACACTCTCCGACATTTAAGTTTTAGCAAAATTAGAAGTACCCCGTGATAATCATTGTTGCCATTCACGATATAATCATAATTGCGATCGAGCTAGCCATTACGAACGTAAAGTTTGACAAATTAATAATTAATAATTTTATACATAAGCTTACACGACTAACGCCTTTCGCCGTCAATGCGAAGTGAGCAAAATGAAATCGTAAATACGCGTTTGTTGTGTTCACGCGGTGCGTGTAAATTGGCATTATGATAAAATCGCTAAGGTCACGAGTACCTCTACTCATTATTTCGGACTCGTGGCACGATTGCGATTACATTTCTTTTACGATTAGTCTACCAAATACCTGGCCTAACTTCACATAAAAAGCGTACCTAATCCGAATATACGCAATATTATTGCATTTACCGATATACTTATCGTAAATACAAATACACATTTATCGCAAATATTGGAACGAGTATGAGCAAGAAGGGGAGGAAGAAAAAATGAGAGAAATTTACAAAGATACGGTTGTGCTTGATAATAAAGTATATCAATAGTTTCATTTAATATTGATGGTAAAAGATTTCAATTGAAAAAGTACGCTAGAATTTATAATTGATGAACTAACGTGATTATTCGCATTTATTATTTAATATTATCGATAAAAGAAATTTCACGCGGTCTTTCGTATATTTAATAAAAATCTCCTTAAAATGTTTGATCGTAGTTATATTGTTAAAATATGCACAACTACAGATATATATGTAATACCGTAAGGATGGTAAAGTTATCAAATAATTGGAAAAATTTTGTTAACATCAGAATTTGTTTAATAATTTTTATTTTGATATCTGCATGCATGATGACATAGTAAAGAATTATTCATTTTTCAATGTTATGGAACGTTGATCGATAAAATAAAATTATATTTCTCTCACTCACTTAGCGAATGGTTGAAGAAGAAGAAAAAAATGTATACCATGTACGAATGACATAATATTATTTAAGGAATTTATTGTATGAAATTATATAATTGAAAATTATTTTATCGTATTATGTATCGTATTATTGTGTAAAGAAAAATTTGCTTGTAATCAATGCCTTCGTAAATAATATTTTTAAACGATCATGAAATCCGTGAATGTAATTATAATACAGTGCGAGGAAAATTACTAAATTTATTTAAATATTTTGAAGATTTAAGATTTATAAATATTAAATATTTTCGTATTTTAATTTAGGAAATAGAACTTAATGATGTTTTCTCTACTTAAACTTATTAATATTTGAAACTATTAATTATTAGATACTCGAGTAGAAATTTTAATCATTTAATTCTATAAAATATTATTTATGAATATATATATATATATATATATATATATATATATATATTTATAACAAAACAAAACAAAACAAAAATTATGAGGTAAATATACGCAAACTTTCATAGAACTAATTTAAAAATTAAATTAAAGAATGTTAATAAAAATAAGCAAAAAGCTAATAATTAATCTCTTGAGAATAATCGTCAAATGAAACAGTATAAACGTTCATGTACATTAACCATCCGTCAAACATGCTAGCTACTACTATTTGCAAAATTAAATATAGTATCGATAATATTAAATTTTTTTTTAATCATTAACGACTAGATTTAATATTTCACTAAAATTATATTTGACAGCTTCATGATTTACTTAAATCTGGTTGCTCTGTGATTGGTAACATATATTCACGTAGAAATAAAACGATATATTAATATTATTTATAATGTTAAGCATGCAATAATTTACATCCATATGAATTGCTTAAAGACCTTTATTTATTAATTATAGTCACAAGTATAATAATAATATCAAAGACACCGTAGAGTTAAAATGAAGTGATTGGAAGTTGGTGATTTGAAAATAGCTCACTAAAGAGCAACTTTTGTTGTAATTAAAGAAACTGCTTTTTATATATTTTCGAGTTCATAAAGAAAGTGAGTCGTTAAATATAGAACGTAAATTAGAAATAGTAGATAAATGAGTATAGATTATGTGTGCGTTAATAGATAAGAAGCAAAGACTTGGGCAATCATTATGACATTATGCGGGAACTCGACGGGGGGTCTTACTTTTCAAATTCTCTCGACTTTTGGCCTCTCGATCCACTGGGCCTTTTCAAATTGTCCCGGAACCACTCGAAATTTCAGCAGCTACACGAGATCGACGTTGGTCCGGTTGGCAAAAGGTTCGCCATGTTAGTGTCTACGCTTATGTCTATCGATTTGCTTATTTTGCAAATTAGCGCATTTAATTTTTCGGTTTGTATTTCGCAGCGTTTCGCACGACTTCAAGCAGTCATTCCAATATCAAGTTATTTTTCTAATCGTTTGTAATCATTTTATAAATTCGAATATTATATCGCGAGTTAAATATCGGATAGTTATATATCTGAGAAAAGATGAACACATAAAAGTCAATGGAATTGTATGTTTAAGCAAATGACAAATTTCTTAAGGCGACAGTAGCAGAGAAAAAAGAGAGAGAGAAAAAAAGATTATTACAAGATAACGAATTTTGAAATTGCTTATTGAAATTGCTTATTGAAATTGCTTAGTGAATGTTCGAAGACCGGAAAATTTTCTAAATAAAACTTATAAAATTATGATAATCAATTGCTGTCTAATTAATTTATTTTTCAAATTAAATACATCCTTACAGATAATCGAGATACATTAATAGACTTAATTGCAATAGACTTGTAAATTTTAAAAAATTTCATCGGCTATATTGAACTTTCTCCCCTAGGAACGACGTTTACGAGAGTAATACTTTAACGAAGACTACGTTCGGATAAAAATTTGTTCGTGTATAAGTTTATCGAAAATACATTTCAGGCTTGAACTGTCAACTTTTATCGCCGATTGAAAGTAAAAGCGAGATAAAGAATAGAAGAAAAAACAAAAAACAAAAATAATGGACGAATTACAACTGATCAAACGTTTTCACAGGATCGAGACTTTTTTTCACTCACTGTCCTCACTCCGTCTTCGATAAAATTACTTATGTCAGGGATCCCACGTGAACTAAAAAATCCGGCTTCCAGATCACCGGACTACCACCCCGGCCACCTCGTGCACCTCATTGTCTTGACTCATTGTCCTCACTGCCTGGAAAGGTCTCGAGGTTAGATCACCCTTATCGGTTCCTGCCCAGCGAGACACTCGACGCATTACTCAAGAGCCAAACCAAACACTACCTGTTGTATTTAGTTGAATAACTATTCCGATATTCGTTGTGCTTCTTTCTACCATTTGCAATACTTACAGCTTGCAACTAGGGATTTGCAGCTTAAAATTTTTAAAAATTTCCATATATCATATTATAATATAAAGGCAAATATCATTACTTTGCTATGTACATTAAATGGCTTTTATAGCGAAACTTGTTACTTTTTTGTATGCACGAGTGAAAAAGAAAAAAGAAAACAACGAGTAAAAGAGATATCAAACATGGTATGAACATTTATTTAAGATTACATTTATATCCCATCGTTCGTAAAAAGAAATTTGATTTATTTTCTATTTCTATTAGCCATTTAATATCGATCGAAACAACCTACGCCAAAGAGCGTTTGTCGTACAAATTTTTAATTTCGTTCTTATTACAGCGAGTACCACTTTTTATAAACGCAATTCCAAGAATTTCCATATAATTTCTATATTTTTTAGAAAATCAACAAAAATATAAATTTTTATATAATTTTCTTTTCATTCCATTTTCTCCCCCCCCCCCCCCTACCCCTACCCCTACCCCTACCCCTACCCCTCCCCCTCCCCCTCTCACCATTGTATTGCAATGTTATTGAATTTATTATATCGATAGCACAAAGCAGTATTTCAATTATAAATTAAAGGTTATCATTTCTTCGTAAGTTTTAAAATACTTAATAATATAGTGATTACAGATGATTAAAAAATATTTTAATAAATCATGAAATGGCTCTTGATTTATTTATTCAAATATTTATCGGGAAATTAAAAGTTCGGGGAAAAAAAAAAAAAAAAAAGTTATACCATAGAAAAGATTTTCTTCTCTAGACTCTTTACCAATAAATTATCGCAATTGACAAATTAATATTTAATACGAATATTATTTTATAGACTGAATGATTTTAGCAGGGCAGTAGTGCAAAATATTTTTAATACGAGATGAAAAAAAATTGAGAAACGACAATAATAAAGAGCTAACCAGTTGTAAGAAGTAAGATATACTTAGGCAT